GTCAATTTTCGCTACGTAGGTAATGATATATTATGTGTATCATAAAAAAAGGGGTTAAATTGCTTAGATTACCAAGTTTGGGGGATTTTTTACTTTAATAAAAATTTAGAGGCTTTAATAAAAAATTTAAGATAAGTTCGGAGTTTAATATAAGATTTTGCCTCTTTACAAACCCCAATCGAAATTGGGCTTTTCTGCTCTGTTTTTTGGGCCGGTGGGCTTTCCGCTCCGTTATATCACAAGAAACAAACTAACACAGTCAAATGTAGTCCATTGAACCAAACATACGTGGAGTTGGATTGCCGGGCCAGTACTGTTCTTACAACTATTACATGGGAGAAGGGGGAAGTATTTTTATTTATTTATCTGATGTTATATATTTTTACAGTTCAATTTTGTGCACCTCCAAATTAACCTCTTTATGAATGATTTTAAGAATGCATCCCATATCGGCTTGGTGCAATTAAGGAATTAAGTTTTTTTTTTTGGGGTTTTATTCTCAAGACTTAAATTTTGAATTTGACATACAAGACAATATTTATTTATCAACTAATTTAACCCTTAAGGTTATCTCATGATTTATTGTTAAACATGGATAGTTCTTTTTGTTCTCAAATCCCTCTTCAATCATCTCTAAGTCTCAAGATACTCAAAATTTTAAATTTGAAACCTATACAATTTATAGGCTCTAAGTCAACATGCCTTGGAGGCTGATTAAGGATAAGTATTCCAGTTTTTAGTTTGTGAGAAATCTTTTATTTTTAAAATAAATGAAAAATTAAAGTGATTAATTGATTGTTACATGACTTTAGATATATGTAGTATATTTGATTTTGGAAGGAAAGATCTGAAATCAATGGGTGTATATATAAATCAAATATTGGCCTCATTGCCACATGATTATTATAGTGCAACTGTACACGTAAAGAGCCAAAATAAAGTGGGATATGCAAAGTATATACAAGTGTCCCTTGATTCACGGTTCCTTGTTCTCATTATTGAAGGCAAACCGCAATCCCTTCATCATTAAAATAAAAAAGAGGAGCCAAAAGCAGTTGTGGAATTGTCGAAGAAACTGATAATTTAAAGACTCGTCTAACTCTTAGTCAAAGCAATACATATGGCCGACATCTCTTGTTTGAAGGCAAAACAAAAAGGGTAGAAAGGATTGAGAATAAGCTCAAAGAAAAGAGCAAAACAAGGTTTTCCCATGCTGAAACGATAGGGAAAGGGATAAGATAGTGATCTTTTTCCAGAATTGAGTTTTGACTAGAAAATGTGTAAATAATTATACTAATTTTGTACATTTTTATTTAAAAATGTTAATTTTATCAGTTTCTAAATAAATATACTAAATTTCAACTTCTTTTTATTTAATGTTAAGTTTGAACCTCTTTTTAAATTAA